CAGCAGCGCCGCCGCCGCCGCCGCCGCCGCCGCTGCTGCTGCTGCTGCTGCTGCTGCTGGCGGGGTTGAGGTGGTACTTCTCCGCTGCTAAGTGCAGTGTACAGACATCGAAAGGCATGCACTCGTCCAGCCGCCCCGTCAGCTCCCCACAGAACCACCGCAGCAAAGAAGAGAAATTCAAGTGCCGGCGAGGGCGGGCCCCGCTGCCGTTTGCTGCTGCTGCTGCTGCTGCTGCTGCTGCTGCAGGAGCAGCAGCAGCAGAGAGGCCTTCGAGCGCGGACACCGCCAGCGCCAGGGAGCTGCAGCAGCCAACCGAGATCCAACAAGGCGCTCCAACAGCCTCGCCGTCCCCTTCCCCTGCTGCTGCTGCTGCTGCTGCTGCTGCTGCTGCTGGGCGTTGTGCGCGGTAGGGGCTGAGGTGTACGCGGACTCTGTCTGTTTTGCTGCTGCTGGCGAGAAACAAAACAAGAGGATTATCGCCGACAGCGGAGCCCCACTTGTCCGCCTCCGCGTGCGCCCCGCCCCCTCCATCCGCTGCTGCTGCTGCTGCTGCTGCTGCTGCTGCTGCTGCTGCAGGCCTGCCTGTCTGGGCCGTCTTGAGGGCGTGTTGACTCAGCAGCACGTTGAGGAGATGAAGCACGAGGAAGTCTTTGACGCAAAGGCCCTCTCCTGCTGCAGGCCCGATCTCCTCGTGGGCCACGCAGCACCACGGCACGCGCGCAGCAGCAGCAGCAGCAGCAGCAGCAGCAGCAGCGGGGGACGCCGCAGGCAGCCCGTGGGCGTAGGAAGCCAGAGTCAGCAGACACGGGAGAACACTCGCGGGAGGAATGAAATGCCTGTCAGCAAAAAGCTCCTTCAAAAAAGAAATGAAAGCTTCGACGCGGGCAGTGCGGGGAGGGCCAGCCTCTGGGGTGTACGTACACCTCAGCGCCCCCACCGCGCTCGCTGCAGCAGCTCTTTCCTCCACTTCTTCTCTTCCCACTTCGCTGCTGCTGCTTGCTGCGGGCAGCCACTTTGCTGCTGCTGCTCGCTGCGCCAGTTTGCTGCTGCTGCTCACTTTGCTGCTCCCAGTGCTGCTTCCCGCGCCGCCCACTTGCTGCTGGCTCGCTGCAGCAGCAGCAGCAGGGGGAGCCGCCCAGTTGTAAAGGGAAGAGAAACTGCTGCTGCTGCTGCTGCTGCTGCTGCTGTTGAGTTTTGAAATGCTGCTGCTCCCAAAGCTGCGGCTGCCCGCAGAAATGCCCAAATCAGACTCTGGGCTGGGGTGTACGTACACCTCAGCGCTGCGCGCTTGCGGGCGCGGCAAGGCCGAAAAGCCATAATTAGGACCATCTGCTGCAGTTCCTGCTGCTGCTGCTGCTTCTGCTGCTGCTGCTGCTGCTGCGCTCTGTTTGAAGCCAGTGCGGGGAGGGGAGCAGCTCAAGACAGACCGAGAGAGACTGCTGTACTTCGCAGAGCTCGGGAAGTAGGAGGGTGCTGCTGCTGCAGGTGCTGCTGCTGCTGCTGCAGGTGCTGCTGCTGCTGCTGGAGCTGCTACTGCTGCTGGTGCCGCTGCTGGTGCTGCTGCTGCTCGTAGGGTCGGGGTTGGCGCTGCTGCTACTGAAGAAACAAAGGGAGAAGCGACTCTCCTGCCCCTGCTGCTGCTGCTGCTGCTGCTGCTGCTGCTGGGAGCCGCAGTGCCGTAGGCGAGGGCAGGGGGTTTGGCGGCGTCTGCGCTGAGGTGTCTGTACACCCCAGAGTAGGCGTCGGCGTGGCACGGGAGAGCCGAAGAGTGACCACTGGTCACTTGCGAGTCAAAACGCGAAAAGTTTGGAGAGAAGGAGCAGCTCAAACTCCCTCCTGCTGCTGCTGCTGCTGCTGTTTCGCTGCTGCTGCTGCTGCTGCTCTGCAGCCGCGAGATGGAAACAGCGCGGACCCCCCCAGAGCGCTGGAGGGGCGGGAGGTGTCTGTACACCCCAAAGGCCGCGCCTTCCCGGTGACCAGTGGTCCCGTTGGAGACGCTCGCAGCTGTAGAGACACTCGGCAAGGAGTCCGAAGCCGCAGGGCCCATGCTGCTGCTGCTGCTGCTGCTGCTGCTGCTGCTGCTGCTGCTGAGGTTCAGGCGCTTGCTGCTGACGTAGGCGCGGGGCAGCGGCACGTCTGCTGCTGCTGCTGCTGCTGCTGCTGGCTGCTGCTGGCTGCGCAGTGGCTGCAAGGTGCAGCGGAGGGGCCCGGAGGGCGAGGGGGCCCTCAAAGAAGAACTGAGCAAATGCGAGCCCCAAAGAGAGCTCGAGGGGGCCCCCCCGAGGGGCCCCAGGGCCTCGAGGGGCCCCCCGGGGGCCCCCCCGGGGGCCCCCGGCCTGGGGGGGGCCCCCAAGTGGCTTAGAGAAGGGCCGTAGTTTGAGGCCAACGGAGGGCGCAGACCCGCAGGCCCAGAAGAAAGCAAAGAAGTATTTCTGGTGGGAGTTGTCAGGGGCTGGGGGGAGGCGAGGGCGGGAGCTGTCGATACACCTGGGGAGCCGCAGGCGCGCGGCAGCAGCCCCCGGCGGGAGTGGAGGCCGTAGAGAGGGTCCATAGTTGTTTTAACTTGTCAAAAAGAATCGATTTGATTAATTTGACGCAAAAAAATCGAAAATAAGTCAACTGAGCCGCCCGCAGGGCCGCAACTGCAGCAGCTGCTGCTGCTGCTGCCAGCCACCGCTGCAAAACGCGCAAAGACAAAGCCGCGGGGGTTCTCCGCAGCTCCGCAGCTCCGCAGCTCTCAAAAAACAGAACAAAAAAGGAAATTAATTTATTTCGGGGTTTTGAACAGCAGCAGCAGCAGCAGCAGTGGGTGGTGCCGGGTGGTGATAGGGTGTATGTGTGTGGCGGGGGCTGGTGAGCGGCGAAGACAAAAGATCTGCGGGTTAAAAGGCCTTCTATGCATTTATTTATTCCAAATTGAATAAAAATATTCCAATTAAAAACATAAATATAATTTTGTTTAAAATATTCAAAGTGTAATGCAATTTGGCGCCACCGCTGCCGACCGGCCGCAGCCAAAAGTTGAACTGCATGCCAGCCAAACGCAGCCCCACCGCTGGTCGCATCCTTCTGTTTTAATTGAATTTCCTTCGAAAAAGTCAAAAGAAAATGCGAGTTGAGTTGTTTAATTGAATTAATTTCATTTAAATCTTTGAAGCGGCCTCTCGCGCGGCCGCAACTCCCGCTTTCGCGTCGCAGGGCGGCGGCGCATGCGCGCTGCAGTTTCTTCGTTTTTTAAGCTTTCGCCTCTCCTTACCTGTCCCACTGCATGCAAGAGCATTATTGAGATGTTTTAAAATTCTTTTTTCTTTTTTCTTTTCTCTTTTGAGCCCCCGACCCCGCCAGCAGCTGCGCCGCAACCCCAGGTGTATGTACACCCCAGCTGCAAAGGGGCGACAGGGCCCTCCCCGCTCCGCCACTTCCTATCACTTTAATAAATCCTTCGAGACTTTCTTTTAAAGACTTCTAGACTTTCTTTCAAAGACTTCGAGGCCTTCTTTATAAAGACTCCGTGACTTTCTTTTCTTCGTGGACTCGCCCTGGGGCCTCAGCCGCCAGAGAAAGGGAATCTCAAC